ATACTATTATGTTTGATATAGTTACTAGTTAGTGGCATCAAACAATTATACTGATTGGTCATGTCACACTGACAGTAGCAACATTAATGCTCATTATGAATGCACCATGTTAGGATGAAGGGGTCTTCACATATCAAATTCTTCACCTCTTACTTGGAAACTCACCAGAGAATGAAACACGGTTATTTCGCATTTCAAGAGCAATACAGTTTTAGGCCAATGCCATTTTGCAACGCTGTAATTCTCATGAAATCACATAAAACAGATTTTGCAAAGTTGCCTTGGAGTTCACATTACATGTTTAGATGGATTCCAAATATATGTCAGACAAAACACGTCCCTGTACTTTTAAACCTGTCTCTGATGATTTAGCAGTTGACAGAACAGCCTCTTACAGATTTGTGAACGTTAATTCATTTTCTCTTCTCCTTAAACGGAGCCAGACATGGTCTCAACGGAACATATACCTGAACAAAATACACAGATTTTGGTGTGTAGGTGAAAGGCAACTTTGCAAACTAAGATAAGATTTTGACCAACAAGGTGTCATTTGGTCTGTAAGCTCTTGATGGACAGTAAGAGCTTTTTAACCTGTGGAAATGTATCAGGGTCCCACAGGCCTGCTATATTGTGTACCTGAACACAGAAACCAAGGTGATGGGCAGGGGAATACTCTGTAGTTGTACAATTTCAATTGCCACCCCACCAGGACGAGCCAGTCCAACTTTGGTCTAACACTGTTCATTGATTGCTGCCTGAAGACTGGTGAATATCACTTCTAGCTGTGCATTGTAAAGAAGCACCATAAGCACACAGGCAGACTTTAAGTCGGTACAAACATGTTCTAGAAATGAGATAGTATTTTCACCAGTCTTGCATGTAATGGTCTTCAGTACATGATGTTAGAGAATTGCATCTCTAGCATAAGAAAATATTTAACATTTTGATGGTCATTACAACACAATTGTTATGAATATGTTCAACAGCTTCTTCTATTTCCACTGGCAATTTCAGGACTTTTACCATTTCTTTGTCCATGCTTTTCTGTCTCTGTATGGGCACCAACCTGATTAATTTTTTCCACTTCTGTTTTAAAAAAACCAGGACTTGCTGTTCTACACCAAAATCTACAACTATGTTGTGAATACCATCAAAATGAAATAGGATGTTTGTTGAAAGTCAGTAAAATGTTCATCTTAGACAACAGCTTGAACACTTTACTGAAGTCAACACGATACTATTTATGTACACTGAGGATGAACAAAGCCCTCAACTACTTTTCTAATGCGAAAGCATCTCTTCTCCTCAAATGACGTATCATATAATGCAATTAACATGAAGGACTTTGTTTCCCAATGTATACAACTAGTAATTAGTATGGTTCATGACATAACCAACACTTATCTTCCATTCCCTCATTAGGTCATTCACACTAGGCTACATAAACCATGTTTACACCACCGAGATGTTTCTTCTTCCCTTGTGTGAATGTAACCTGTGTGTGTCTTACCTAGACACTGAGGCCTCCAATGTGAAAATATTCTTCTTTCAGCATGGAAATACATCAAGCAGTCATCTGCAAAATGCCACCATTGTGACAATGCACCTCAACTTCATACTTGTGTGTTAGAACATATTTTCTCCAGACATAATTTTCAATCATTACACAATCACCACCTCATCTTGTGCAAACTTTTCAATAGCAGTGTGTATACAGCACACACAGAGGGAAATGGAGATATAACAACACATGACGCTTATATTTAGTGAATACGAAGACCCGAGAGAGATGCCTCAAGTCTTGAAAACACTAGGAAGAATTTCCAAGTCTTTGCATTCAAAACAATAAGTACAAATCAATGAGACACCTGACTTATCTTCTTCTCTTTTTTTTAGTTTCACATTTTCCATTTAATACACTTCCCAAACTATGACTTAGCTCAATGAAGGAAGCAATCTTTCCTTTTTTAAAGTCCGGTGTCTCATCAATTTGTATGTGTCATGCAAAAGCTTAACGTTCCCCCTCCCTCTTCCCCCAACACAAACCTATCAGGTGTGCCAGAGGGGAAGGGGAGGGGGGTTGGGGGGGGGGTGCCTCATGATTTCCATTGTTCTGGAACAGAACACTAGAAACACAAATGAGAAAAGGGTGGTACAATAGGATGGGAGGGTGTACCCAAAAAGTATTTCAGCTACTTGTGTATTCTGGAACAATAACACTCATCATTATGATGATGAATGAATTCTCTGAAGTAGTATTTCTCTATTTACATGTTTTACATTTATGTTGAACAGAATACACTCCTCACAAGAGGAAAAGTTACTCTAGTATGCTGCTTACCTCACTCCAATTCATCTTAGCTGGCTCTCTTTCTGCCCTAACCAATTTCTATCTTGTCCCAATAATTTGCTTAATAGTTGCATTGCATTCATCAAGTACATACAGGTAGTCGCGTAATTAGCTTGGCTGGTTATATGCCGTCTTCATTCCTTAAGCCACTCCTAAAATCTTAGTGCATGTCTCCTAGCTCTGCAGCATTGCTTCCTTTCTGCGTTGCCCATTGGTATTGGATCATTACTCTCAAACATCTCCACACTGCTACTGTCTGTTCATCTGAAGTAAAAACAACTTTCCATTTCTGATCCACTTCTCATCTTGCTCGTTTCCAATTTTTGTCTTTCCTTCCAAAGTGTCAATATCACTTTCAAATGCTCATCTTTCATTCACATCCTTCTTCTTTATTTTCATTTTGGAGACACCATCCACAGCTTCCTTCCGAGTTCAAAGTTCAACTAATTTACTTCCCCGACTTAGATTTCCTGTTGTGGTAATAGCAATCCTGTTTCTCCACGTCCGGTGTTCATCATGTTATGCAGAGTTTCTTTGTTGTCAATATTTCAAAGCATTTGTTCAATTCTTCCGGGACGCCGGTATGCACGCTGAAATCCTTCCCATTCCGAGTTCCTTCCGTCTAATTGTTGATTGCATGTTCCATCATGAATGCATGCTTTAATTGTGTTTTCAAGCAAACAAACACACTACACACCCCATTTCATGGAGGGCTTGCTTAAATCAGTGCAAGAAAGGTGTAACACGCTACAGAGAGATTTTAAGTCATTTTTAACCTTTCACCAAAATGATGATATGGAGTGATGGCCTTTTACTGGTACAGCATACTAGAGTAACTTGCAATAGCCTGAATTACTTGTTACATTTAATCATTTAAACGTCAATTAGTTAACATTGTCCACTTCATAAAAGTTGACAAGATATGAAGAAGAAAAAAAGTGAACCCTTTTCTGAAGGGAGTACAAAAACAAGGGTAGATTTGTCAGTTCGCAGACTTCATCTTGCACATGAACACAACCGGAGATTTGGCATATCTCGCTCATAAAAAGCATGTATATGCACAGAAGGAATGGATGGACTTAACACACCTCAACAATCACACCTACATACACACACATCCACTCTTTAGCTCCAGAGCGAAAGCAAAGAATCAGAACATTTCCAGTGTTCTCAGAACCCTACTATAGTACAACGCGGTTGCTTTCTCTTCCCAGTAGGGGCTAGCGTATGGGCACATTCCTCCCATCATTCCTTGCATCAGCAAAAGTTTTGGTAGCTGAAATCTTATACATGTAAGTATCTTGACAGTTTCTAGTCTGTATTCCATCTACGGGAGCGCCAAAAGATCACATACACTTTAATACTGAACGGATCCATTTTCGTCTTGATTGTCATGTCTTGGCTCTGGAGCTATGAGTAGTAAGTAATCACATCTCACAAATCAAACACCATTTCACCTGGAAATCGCACCGGCACTCACACTCGCTCACTCTTTCTCTCTCTCTTAAACTCACTTACTCATTCACAACCACACATCATACTTAAAAGCACTGTACACATACATCTCTAGTACAATGCAGTCCGATATGGAAAGGCTGCTGAACACATATTTAAGATTACATCAGGTAACAATATTACGTCAGCTAAGAGCCAGAGGAAAACAGGTAAACTAATACTTTAAGGCAAGCAGCATGGTCAAGTTAGGGTTCCCGTTCCAGAATTTACAATCTACAGGAGCCGATTAAGAAATCTGTTTATCAAATAAACTGAGGAACAGCAAAACCTTTTCTTCTTTCTTACTTTTTTCCTCAAACACCTGAACTCTTGGTGTGACAGCCGAAACAAGTAACAAACGGTTCACTTGTCATCAAATTTACTGTTTAGAATTTCTGTGTTTTCATGTCTGGCCATGTCCGTCTGGTTTAGGAGTCTCAAATGGGCGCCTCTACAAGAGGGAATAACCCAAGGTGGGAGAGATACAGCAAGTGTCCCAATCAGTCACGTTCTTAAAGAACATTTTCTCTGTTTGATAGACTTGTACATGACTGGATCCTAATGTTATAGTGTTCAGGGTTTCCATACAAATTTGAAACCGATTTCCATGACCAGACAAGTACCATTTTTGTATCATAGGTCGCGGCATCCAGCTGTGTACAAATACCACACAGTGATGCATATATTTTATGTTTAAGGTGGCCTCTGCCTCCTTTCAATTTCTATAACTTTCCATAACTCTGGGAGATTTTTTTTCTTATCAATTTTCCATGGCTTTCCATGATTTTCCAAAGGAACTTATTTTTCCAAGACTTTCCAGGTTTGTCCATGACTTACCATAGGAACCCCAAGTGTTATACAGAGACCAAGGTTCTTACAGGGTGCATACCTATTCTCCTCTGGCTCTAAGGGGTGTGGTATTAAAGTGTTAATGTCGGATATCAACCTGAACGGATATGAGACGGCATTGACATTGCAGATTTGAGTTGATGCCATCATAGGTCAAGTCTGGAGCAGTAAAACATTTGTTCACGCGAAGCAAAAAAGCAGCATGCTAAAAAATGTGCGAATGACGCTGAACAGTCATCCAAATGCAGAGTCATGGTTTCCTCACATGCTGAATATAAGTGGATAGCTCATTTGGAGAATTTCAGACTTTGTTTCTGCTTGGAAAATCCACTCCCCTTCTCTTTCAGTTCCTATGTAGGTTTATTTAAGTACAATCTCAGCACAAAAGGTGCGCTTGCTCTGGTTTAGCGAGCTAGTCTGCACAATTCATGCTTATCTTTGGGAAACTCAAATGACCAACTGACCAAGTAACATATTGCAATTAGCAATGCCGCATCACATCCTACGGAAGAAAAAACAGGGGTCACAGACAACAAAACAAACGTTAAAAACAAAAACTCTACCTTACGAAACTGGACACTAAATGCACACTTACATCTGACTTTGATGTGCATTTGTGAAACCTTTTTTCTTTTGTTTGAGCTAAGAAGGCACTCTCATAGTGACCACTTTCTGGTCCATTTTTTTTCATGTAAATTCATTTTTTTTAGAAAAGATATCTTGTGGTAAAATAACACCTTTTTTCACAATGTTACACCGTCTCAGTGCATCGTGATACACTTGACTTTTTTCGCAATCCTTCTACAAATTATATACGAGTGATTAAAGAAAATTAAAAGAAAATATAAAATTGCACAAGGTTCATATCAATTTCATTAGTTTTTTCTGAATTGGAAATGGAAGGAAAAGAAAAGAAGAAAAAAGTCAAGAAACAAAAAGAGAGATTTTGTGCCGAGATATCCTCTCTCTAGAACAATTTTCACTCGTTTTCTTTGAGCTTAAAAAGTACCTTCTCAACTCTGCGCTTAGAACGCATCTTGCAGTTTAGCACCATTGCAAGTGTATCCTAATATAAACAGATCTGGGCCACGTTTCATAAGACTTGTTATCAATGACAATTCTGCCCATATCCAATCAAATGAAAGGATTTCAGCAGATTCTTCACAATGGACCCTGCCATGTTTGTATGAAGAGTGGACTATTGAGATTGCTAAAGAGATATTAAAATCACACTAAGCCATTCTTATTTTTTTTCAATCGTTATCCATGTCGAAAAGATGAAGAAAAAAAGAGGCTTTTCCAAGTAATTTTTCCTATGATCTGGCTTGCAATCTATGCTGCCATGTAAACCATACCTCAAAAACTAGACTTTTCAGTTTTGCGCATACCAACTTATAGAGACATTTCATACGTCTTCATTGTACCAACATGTTAAATCTAGGCATCATTATCACTCACATCTCAACATTATCTTATAAATTGATGCCCTATCTTCACTTCCAATGTCTCTATGATACACTAGCCAATCCTGAAGTATCCTCGCCTAGCATCTTTCGCGGAAAAAAAATAAAAAAAATAAAGAGAATTCCAGTATCTGTTTCGTTCAAATCGAATGTGACTTAATTGGGCGTATTTTGTTTGACATTTAAACTAAATTTTTTTCCTATGATTTTCTCCAGTCATCTAGCCGGATCCGTCTCCGATCTCTTCCTCCGTCTGGTACTCTGCCACGTAGAGCCTCTTGTCGACTGCCTCCTTGCACGGGAAGGGAACGATCTTGGTCGACAGCTCCTTCTCAATGACATACATGGGGACGCGGTCGTCGTGGGTGATCATGTTGATGGCCAGTCCCATGTGGCCGTAACGTCCAGAGCGACCGATGCGGTGGAGGTAGGTCTCCGACACGCGCGGGAAGTCGAAGTTGATGACGACGTTGACAGATTGGATGTCGATACCGCGGGTGAACAAGTCTGGAGGATGGAGATAAACATAGTCAAAATGATCTCATTAGTATTTGTCAATCGTGGCGTTTTTAAAAGTGTACAAATCGCCAAAACATGTTTTGCTCGATGTAAGGGGTTCCATATGGCTATACTGTATTCAAAATATGAGCTTCATATGTTAGTTCTTCGAAGAGATATTGTAACTTAAATACATTCTCAGTGAACAGTAAAACATCTGGTCGAGTATACTGGTCAACCTACATTTACGCACTCACATAGAATGCCAGGTACAGTTTTTCACGTTGATTTTATTCTAACTATAAACAAATTTTATTTTCAGGAGATTTGTACACTTCTATATGAAATATCAAGTCTGAACTGAGACGATGGAGATAAAACACGGTCCTAAATATCTCACTAGTGGTCTTCACTCTAGGTGTTAAGATAACAAATTTAAGTCTGAAGGAGTTCATTCATCAACAGCTGATCACACAAATTAGCCCTCATTTCCAAAGAAAAATAATACAATATTTATCCAAACTCCTGTCTTACATTTTTTTACTTCAGTTTTTCTCTGTGGATTTAAAATCCATTCCCTTTAAATTTTCACAAGCCTATCTCTTGAATAATTAATGCTGATTTAGGCTAGAATCTGTCATATGCATGATTAAACTCTCAAATATTTCACGAATGTTTCCAGAAGCGATATTGTCTCATGCCACAAAAACAATTTGGCACTGTGAAGTGTCTTTTGGCATCTTTGAAGGGAACATACCTGTACAGACAAGGTTTCTGCAGGCGCCGTTGCGGAAGTCATGGAATACTCTGTTTCGATGTTCCTGCTGCATGCGTGAATGGATGTAGTAACAGGAGTAGCCAAGCTCTGTGATCTTCTTGGCAAGGAGTTCCACACGCTGGGTCGTATTGCAGAAGATTATCGCTTGGTTGATTTGCAACTAGGGTATTAAGATATCAAAGAGAATACAAATTAATATTACCTTCAAAAGTGGCAAGTAAGTAGAGACAAAAAAATATGTATATTTCAAGATGTGGAGAAGATAAAATTGTTTGAATATCAAGATTTCAGGACTGTAGGCAAGAAATTACCAACTCCTAGGCAGCTTAACAGGATTACGTTATCAATTTGGAGTGCCTAACATACAATACTTCTACAATGAAGACAAACATGGATATTGCGCGACTATAGGGATACCTCCATTACAACCACTGTGACACGTACAGCGCTTCTGTGGGTATTTGAGAAAATGGTGCAAAATGATATTTATTTTCAGATGAATTTCTTTTGTGTTTACACATTCAGTTTCTCATTTTCTGATGAGGGTTATAAATCGAATATACCATGCACTCTTTTTGAGGCGCCGGTAAAATAATGGATCACCTGCGACTAGTGTAGTGGCTATAGTGGCTATGCCAGAGTCACATCAGAGAATCCATAATTTCAACCGGAGCCTCTCATGATTTTATTACGTTTATCCCATTTTTCTTTCTTACCTTAGAGAAGAGAGTATTAAGGCAGTGAACTTTTTGTTTCTCCTCCACAAAAGCGTAATACTGAGTGATACCCTTCAGGGTTAATTCCTGCATGAGGTTGATTTCATATGCCTTGGTCAAGTAACGATCCTGTGAAGAAAACAAATTTGTATTACATGTACTTCTTTTCATTCAATACATTTTATTACAGTTCCAGAAAGAAGGATGGATTTCGTTTGATTTACAAAGAAATTGCATGAAAAAGTGATACCAAGATATAACGCAATAAGAATACCATCAAAGAAAATATGTTTAGATCACAATGTTAGACGATCCTATTGAGACAAATCAAAGTGCTTTTCATAGACAAACACACAGATACATAGAGACACTACTATACTTGTACTATTATCATGGACAGATCTCAGGCATGAGGCATTTGAAAGCCCAATCTTGTCTTTTATAAGAGAGTTTGTACCTATTTAGAAACTCAAGTCAATTCACTCTCAGATTTTCTGTAGTTGCAAATTACAATTTCCTTCAAAGCAATTTAGACTCCATGACCATGTTTTAAAGTTCCTTCAAGGGGGTTTGGGCTCATGCTTCAATCACAACTGCTCCAGGCTCTATTTCATCAGAGATATATAGTCAGGATTAAGCTGCAATTGTATTGTAGGTTAAACTTAGGGTAAGGTTTAGTTTAGGTAAAGTGTTTTTGGTTCAGGGATGAACTTTGGGATTCAGTTGGGGTACAATATTTACTGTGGAGCAATTGTCCCCAGAACATGTATCATGCAATCGTATGCAGAGGTTTTTACCAAAGTAACAAACCAGTTCAAGATAATATCTGCACATGGTCAGATCAACGGTACAGATACACAGGAGGAAATATTCTTTTATAGAGGGGGGACAAAAAAAAGGTAATCATGAAGCGCCTCAGTGATTATTCTTAGGCGCACAAAGTGGGACTTCTTTAAGTTAAAAAGATCTCCGGATATCCAGGGGTCATTTGTACATCTGGGTCCCGTCTTACAAAGTTAAGATCGATCTAAATCAATCGCAAGTTTGCCGTCTCCTATCTCTTATGTACATAGTTTGCTGTGATTGATATCAACTCTTTGTAAGACGGGGCCCTGCTATCTACATTCGAACTGGTCTATTGACTCACCATAAAGTTCTTGACTGTGATTGGAAAGGTTGCAGAGTAGAGCATGATTTGTCGATCCTGTGGAAGAAAGCTGATGATGTCATCTAGCATGTTCTGGAAGTCTTTAGACAGTAACTTGTCAGCCTGGCAGAGGAAAGAAAGGGCGATATGATAAGCCATTATCACATGCAAGAGAAATACACATACTCATCCAATGTTCATGGTAGAATAACAATTTACTGCCCTCTACTGTTCTACTAGGGCATACAACAATGCACAATGCACAGAGCCAGGTAATCCTATTTTACGGCTGGTCATTACAAAAAGGGGGGGGGGCTGGCTTTTCGAAACATGCTACTAAATGAGATTCTGTAAGCAAGTGGGAAAGATTGATTACGAAGCAAATACAAATTTATGTACACCGCCAATTTGGAATCATCAAATAAGAATTAAATCTTACCAACGATCATATTCACAGAATTGTGTATTTGGACTATGCACCCGACTTGTGTCATAGGAAAATAGGTCCAAACTTTTCAGTTATTTCTCATCACATTTAAAGAGCCATCTTTTGCAGGGAGGTATTTTTTCTATGATATTTTTTTCAACTGAACATAAAAAGATAGAGAAAGCTCATAATTACTTAATTATCTTTACAAGAATTAAACATATGTATTACAGTCAAACCTGTCTACAGCGACCACCCAAGGGAAACACAAAATGTGCTTGTTGTAGACAGGTGGTCTCTAAAGCAGGTTTGATTGTACTAGTAGAAGATTGACCTACCTCATCTAACACCAGCACACTGCACTTGTCCATTTTGGCAATGCTCTGCTTCATGAGATCGAGATACGCCCAGGTGTAGCTATCACAAGGTGAACTGGTGAGAAAAGAAAAAAATGCAGCATTAAAGCACTGATCATGCCAGCTTCTACAAGCCTCAGCTGCAAGGTGAACTGGTGGAAGGAAACTTAAACACTGTATTAAAGCACTGATAAACACGGCACTAAAGCACCAGTACTGTCAACGTCTTCATGCCTCAGCTGCCAGTTTTCATAATAAGCTCACAACTGACTTGGTGGAAATACCATTCAATTCCATTTAATTTATTTTTCCATTGAAAACATCAGAAATACATAATGAATACTATTGTGGCCCGTGTGCAATTGGATAATAACTGTTAGTATCTGCAAACTACAAAAGTGTTTTTTTACCGGAGACAAAAATGTTCCAATTTTTTTTTTTTTTTTTTTTTTTTTTGGGGGGGGGGGGGGGCTACTTTTAAAGCTTGCTTGCATGAAAATAACATTAATTTGTTTTGCATTGAACTCTATGCAAATTTTGAGGCGCTCTTTTACGACTTTCAGGGGCTATTTTGCCCTGAACCACCCCCCCCCCCCCCCCCCCCCCGTGTATTTTTTCCCCATGTCTTACCTGGGTCTTCCAGTCTGAGGATGTCGTCCCTTAGACTAGTACCACCCGTTGTGACCATGACATTGTGGCCCGTGTGCTTTGACAGCTGCTTACAGATCTGACTCGTCTGGAGAGCCAGCTCTCTCGTTGGGACTAGGACTAAAGCTGTGCAACAGGAAGAGACATAAGTTTTAAATGCAGACATTTTGTTGAATAATTTGCATAAGGGCTGGGGGGGGGGGGGGGTTCACAAAGACTTTTTTCAATGACAAATGAGAAAAAAAATCAGAGACAAATTTGCTGATAACCAATCAGAAGGATTTCAGTAGCTTATAACAACAACTGTCATATGTCACTGATGACAAGTTTTGTGAAATGGGGCCATGGTTGTAATGATATAAAGCCCGGAGCAATTCTGCGAGAGCGTGTGCTGCATTGTCAGGACTGTTCCCTTTATCCTTCAAACTGGATACCAGGATATCCAGCTAATTGAGAAGGACATGGAGGGAGTTACTCTATGCCCACTTCGACACTGACATCACTGATGTAAACAATGGTCAGCAACACTGGGGCATTTTGAACACACTTGATACAAATTTAATTTGTTGGACATGTATCCTGAATGTAAAGATGGGCAAATTAATTCACATCAGTTGTTTACTTGCCTTTTGAGGGACAATACAACACCCTATTAAACTATCTTTTATCTGATATCAGCTGTTAAAAAACCATGTATTTCAAATAAACATCAGGTATACTAAAATATCTGATGTTGTCAGTAATATATAGGTTATTCATAGTGCGAGGCAAGGAAATGGGAATGGAAAAGGAATATTAACTGTCCCAAGAGGTTTATGTCAACTGAACAAATGGACATGCATAATTAACAGTCTACAGGAGACAAATTCAATAGCGTTCACAAAACTTTCAAAGATACACTAATGATTTATCACAAATAGGCCATTTTCGTAATGTAACCAAATTGAATGCATATCTACGTCTAGTGCCTTGACTCAAATATTCATTCACCCTTCGTATAATTGTATTTGAATAGTTAGAATGCAAATTGCATGTGTTATTAGGTTGGGCAAGTCATATATGTCCTTATGCGCTTTGGATCTAATGAAAAGGCACTTATAAGGCCTTGGAGTGGTTCAGGAATTATCTCACAGACAGAAAACAGTATGTTAGTATTAATGGTCACGATTCTTATCAAAGATCAGTATCATGTGGTGTCCCACAAGGTTCATTATTGGGTCCGTTATTATTTGTAATATATATCAATGACTTCAGAAATTCGTCTGAAATAATGTCTTTTATTCTCTTTGCAGACGACACTAATATTTTTTATTCACATCGTGACCCTCAATATCTCCTGAGGACCGTTAATAGTGAACTTAAGCGGATACAAGCATGGATAAATGCAAACAAACTATCATTAAATGTCAGTAAAACCCACTTTATGCTGTTTAGCAATTGTATAAAATCCCTACCCGGTAATATTTTAATAGACAACACAATTTAAACCAGGCCGAATCCACAAAATTTCTTGGTATCTACATTGACAGTGATTTATCATGGAAGATACACGTTAACTATTTGTGCAAGCTGATTTCTAGAAACACAGGTATTTTAAATAAACTAAAACACGAGTTCCCAACCCATATTTTGTTATCTCTGTATAACACCTTAATTTTACCTTACCTTAACTACGGTATTCTTGCCTGGGGAAACGGGACCAAAGCCCAACTTGAAAAACTTCTCATTATTCAAAAACGGGCAATAAGAAACATAAATCATGCGGGATTCCTTTCCCATACTAGTCAACTGTTTTTTATAACAAAGTTCTCCGAATTGGTGATGTGTATGTGTACAGCGTAGGAGTGTTTATGTATCAATTAACTATAAATGAGTTACCTGCTGTTATTTGTGCACTCTTCGTACGAAATAATACAATCCATTCTTATTCCACTCGCCAACGTAACCTATTTCACCTTCCCCTTACACGAACTTTGTTTGCTCAAAAAATATCACTTTTACGGGCCCTAAACTTTGGAATGACCTCCCCATTGAATTCACAGAATCAACCTCACTATATTCGTTCAAGCGCAAGCTGAAATGTCATCTCCTAAGCAATTACGCTTTAATGGTAGAAGAAGCTTGATGTTACTTTTAATAATTACTGTCGATGTTCAAACTGAATGTTTCTTTTAGTTTGCTGTTGTTACCCTGTGAATTGCCATTGCGTACGGGTAGTGAAAATGTTATACAAATATTGCTAAGTGTATGAATATTGTTTATTTTTCTTCATAATAAGTATCAACTTAATTAAATTACGTTTTTTTTTTTAATATACACAAGACTATGTCATTGTTGTAACTTTCGGAGCCTATGACCTACAAGCATTGCTTTCTCTTTAGGCTCCATCATATTTCTTCCCTTATTCAACTTAGTCTTATGTATCACTCTTTTTTTTTTTTGTATAAACGCATCCTAAAATGAGTTCAAAATGTAACATGCTATATGTAATGATGTACTATACAACATGTGAGAAATATGAAAATAAACTGAAACTGAACTGAAACTGAAATGTAATACAATTATTATCACCTAGCAAGAACTAGTGTATGCAACTCGCGTTCAGACTATTGAAATACAATTATTTATCACAGGTGAACAAAATAATTTGCACTTTACAAAGACATATGCACTAAATTTGGTTACACTACGAACATGGCCAATTTAGCATTTCCTCTTCAATTTCGAATACGATCTTACCTTGAATAAAATTGTTTTCTGTGTTCGTTTTTTCCAAGACGGGTATGGTATATGCCCCGGTCTTGCCGGTCCCGTTCTTGGCCCTGGCCATAATGTCTCGTCCGGTCAAGGCGATAGGAATGCTCTCTTCTTGGATTGGGGATGGTTTCTCCCAGCCCTTCTCAAAGATGCCCATGAGCAGGGGCGACTGAGGCAGTAGTCCTCAAATTCATTTCCTTTGGTATCTGTCACATCCTGTAGGGATTGGACAGAAAACGATCAATCAAGGGTTCAGTGACACAAAGACGTAACTCCATATTTTGACAAAATAAGTATTTGATATCAAAATCTTCAGAAAAATGTGGGCTTTCCAGGAAACACACACTTACTCCACCTAACATCCCATTGAAGTCAATGGCTTGTGAAACATAGACTTCACTCCTTAAGGCCCAAGTGCTCGGTGACACATAAACCACTTTTTCTCAAAATGGTCAAAATGGAGTTACGTCTGTGTCACTGACCCCTCAAAATGTATGTCGTCTGCTGAAAGATTTCATCGAAATAGACTGGATGATAAGAAACATTTTTTTTTAATGATTTCTAATGACTCGCTGTTCATGAAAGAGATAGAGCCAGAAATATTTGAGAGGTTACAGATGCATAGTATTGGGCTCTCGTTGGGAAATGGCTTTTTTGGGGGTGTTTACCTAATAACAGGTGATGACAAATTGTAAATCACCAGAATTAGCCTTCAGTTTTATGACCAACAGGCCTTTGGTAATGCTGTGAATTTTCCACCAATCGTCCAATATGGAAATTTATTATCTTACATGTCCCTCATCCGAAGACTGCCATGGAACTGGGGTATTTCTTGATGGGACTACGGGTTTGCAGGGTAGGAGACTTGTACATCCATTTATGGTATTTCCACCAATTATAGTGGTGGCGAATTGTGACCTTCTGTACATGGAAACCAACATCCTTCTCCCCATAACCAGACTAAAGAACACCCACAAAATCAACAGAGATAAGGTGCATACCAGTTGTTTAATATTTACTTCACAGCCATTGTTAAAACAGCATTGTTTGGAAGCTAGGTTCAATCTCGGGAAGGTAATATAAACATGTAGTTATCTTTCAGACAACTTCAAAATTGTTTTGAATTTGATGAAGTTGGGACTCATTTTTATCCGAGGTATTCCATTCTATACTTACTGTGGTTCTAATTCTTCTATCCTTATCTGGGATTGCCAGCTTTTCTTTCCAGTCTGGATCACTGTGAAACAGAATAATGATATTAAATACATTTGTATAGTGCTCTAAGTAATACAAAGTATTGTTAATATTTAAACAGGATTGGATTATGAAATCTAAAATGTACTCTACCATTGTGAAACCTAGTGTTAGAATAAGCAACTTTGAAAAAAATTGGGAAGGCTTAGGATTTTGAGAAATTAAAATATCAAATTTATTGGTGCTCCCGATAAATTTCAAATGGCGCCTACGGCCATACAATGGGTAGCTGCAACGATGGAAATCTCGGTATATGCAGTTCTGATTTATTATTTCCAAACAAGAAATTACATACAATGTCTACATTGGACTTCAGCAATTTACGCTGAAGCAAATGTCAGATCACGACTGATAGAATATCATGGAAAGGTACACAAGTAGAACATCATGAAATGCTAGAGCGCCGTAATGGCCGCCTTGCTAATAATAATCGGGGCAGCACCAGGAGCGTCACGAACTCGACGGACGCTATATAAGAAGCCACCATTATTATTATCATTATTATCATGGAAAGGTGAAATGAGAGAATGGGACTTACTCCATGTCTATGGGTGATGGCTTTGGAAGTGGTGCAGCTGGTTTAGGTGCTGGTCTCTCAAAGTCCTTCTGTCTTGAATACTGTCTGCTGCCGTAGCCTCCGCTCCCCCTGTACCCTCCGTAGTGTCCATGATGGTAGCTACCTGGCCCGTCTCGCTGCTGGTGGGGTCCGTTCCTGTCTCCACGTCCTTGATGATTTACCTGATGATTCCCCTGGTGGCTTCCCTGGTGGTTCCCCTGGTGGCTCCCCTGGTGGTTGCCATCTCCTCTCCTCGAGTCGTTGTTCTGCTGCCCCCTGTTCGGGCTCCTCGCCCCGTGATTGTTATTCATCACGCGGTTGAGTTGTGGTGGTGCTGTTGCCATAGCAAAGAGTGTCTTTTCTCACTTCAGGTTTTGTTCCGTTTTCACAAAGTCTTCAAAGAGTTTCACAACCTGATTGACAGCTGATTTTAGTCTTCTTTTGTGATACGTTTATATTATCAATGAAAATTGCATCAGGTGTCATAAGAAGAACATTTCAGTTAAAGATGAGATACTTCCTGAGATTAACTTGTCCAGAAATGTAATAGTACAGGTTCACAAAAAAAGCAAGTTAGTGCCATTCGACTTTGCCCATACAAAATGGGGAAAAATTATCTTTGGCAAATATACAAATATACATTAATATATAAAACAACCTTTACAAATAATATATTCTGCTATAAACAATGAAGCCCCTCAAAGAGGCTTCATGAGGAATTTAGAGATTTTTTAATTTCAAATTGTCCGCTTGGTGGGAAGGAAACAAGCAGCAATTAAAATGGCTAAGAATCCAGTCAATCCACGGAAGTTTTGAACTTCTAGCGCGAAGAGTCTGTTAAGGTGATATATCACAGTTCAAGATTGCAGTTCGTATTGATGTGTATCGCTCAATGAAGTCTGCATAGATCCAGTAGAATTTTTCAGCTCGAAGAAAAGTTGGTGAATTGTCCAAGAACTCTCCTGACTATTGCAGGAATGCCATCAAACCAGCTTCTCTGTGGATGAAATCAATAAAACTCATTGATTAGCTTGAAACTCAATAACTTCTTTGGGTTTTGCTCATCAACTTTTAACAACCTGATTAGGGTCTAGTAAAATGTCTGATTTTGCAAAACTCAAGATTGCCCGAAAGACCAAGACAATAAGGCACAAGCTCCACGTTATAACCAAAAGACCTGTATGGTAGTGCACAATATGTTTACGCAGGGCCCTAATCTGTACATGTGATGATAGTCCACGTGATTCTGATAAAAAAAAACATTTAACACAAATTATCCGTCTCTAGACTACAGAAACATACTAGGCTCAGGTCAGGGTCCTCTATTTACATGTATGTTGATATTTCTGTGAAACTTTCTTTGTTCTGGATTGTGTTGCAACATTTCTTTCTTTTTCTCTCGAAATGAAGCATATAAATCCTCTGTGTTGAAATCACACTTGTACATCCCCTTTTCACGTCATTCACCACAATTTCCCCCTATGCGTGCGAATGAGGATCATCCACTTAAAAGAGGATATCCTCATAATGGGGTGTCTGATGGCGCACCCGATGTGTCCTAAAATTCTTCCCATAGAGATTGCATGCATCCCTATGCAGTCTACGTGCATTGCGCGACCATGCAAAATTGGTCAATTTTTTTTTTTCAAAACGAGATTCAAACCTTTATCCTTTGTGATCCTGAAGGTGATACTGAATAAATGAGGTGTCACATGAAAGAGCAGGTGAATCCCCATATTTCCAAAGGGGCTGCATCTCAGAATTCTAAAAATATCTTTGTCAAAACAGCGATTTAAACATTGTGTCCTGGCTAACTCTGAGGTTTAACACTTTTGAGATATGCAGCCCCGATCGATAAGTACATGTAGTCCCAGTCCTGAGGAATATATCTATGCGCTTATTTTTTTCGCTAGCCCTCAGGGATCACAAATGATTGCAGTTTAAAAATACCCTTCCCCCTATTTGTTGGATCAGCTAATTAGGGAGGCGTGCGCTCCGCTCAGTCCAAACCATGGTTACATCGCATAACATCTCCGCGTACGAACGAAACCTGAATGAAAGTATGGCTAGCCGATGGCACATATTGCGGAGACAACGTGGCTCAAGCTGCAAGTCGCGCATTCAGCTAACATGCGTACGATATGCATATCGCGCAATACAGCCGTTTGGCTAAATTTAGCAAAACAACATAACTTTGCGTGTATGTCTTTTTCGTCGATTCTGATCAAATCGATATGAATATTGCAGCGTTTTGGAGTGGCTGTATCTTTTGATAGAAACATCGGTGAGACTTGAAATTTGAAATGTATTATTTTGATTACATTTTTTATTCAAATATCAAACAAAAATGGTGAAAAACATCCGAAATTGAAAAATCGTTCAGACACCCACGCGGACATCCGCATTTTTGAGAACATTTTTTTTCTATGGCATCCTGCAGATAAAGGTTTCCCGATCTGCACGCTGGTAGTGCAAAAATTGGATTCTGCGTGATAAAATACCGTTTAACGTCTACTTTTTTTATGGGTATTCCGTCTTACCGGGGATTTATCGTTCGTAACAAGTCTCTGTGCAAAGTAAGTTTGAAATGAATGAAGGAGCACATCAACTTGATCAAGGAATCCATATTTTTTAGAAAGCCTCCGTCTGCGTTTAAGAAGAGGATCCTCATTTCTAGTCTATGATATTGATCATGCATAACATCGTAAATCATCAAACTTTTGTATCAAATAGTCTAAATGTGGCTTTAAATCATTTGCACGCATGAATTTTAATTCCATTTTTCATTTTGTTAGAGAAATGACACAAAAGATGCAAGCAAAGTAACAAGAAAAGTTACAATAATTTTTAGAATGGCAGTTTCGGTTAGGTGGTGAAGAAACAATAATATTGGAGATACAAGAAATGTCAGAATACCGCCCCCCGAACTGCGTGTAAAGTGAATGGGTGTGCAGACAAGGAAACCTTTGTTTTTGCTTCGTCAGAACACCGTCGCCTTTTCTTGTGAAAATATCATCATTCTTAATCGAATTTAGAAAAAATTGGGGCACACATACTCTGTAGGATTTAAGGAATAAGATGAGATCAACATTATGGAGAATACAATACAACATTTTCGTTAAGTTCAATCGAAATATTAGGTGCGCAGACATAGGATTGGGGCTCTCCTTCATCATATCTCATTAACGAGCTTGAACCAGATTCATATTACAAATGAGAATTTTCAAATATAAAATTAGGGTTCTTCTTTACAACTTTAAGTATCAAAACATATGGTATTAGAATTGCACAAAACACATCATGCGAATTTCATCAAAATTATCAGACATAAATTCAAAACATCATAGATTACGATGGATAACTTTGACAGGATAACATTACTTACAAGACAAGAAGGTTCAAAATGGCCGTCTGTGTATGAAGTAAACGTACGATACGTAAACCGTATAGCGCATCTATATTGCTGACGGATTCACAGTAATATTTTTTTACTTTTGTACGACACCCGAACAACTCGTCCTGCGTCGTTTCGCTCCACAGGGCCAATGGGAGAAAGCCGGAAAAGGAAAAGACAAAGAGATTTGTTTTCTTCTTCAAAATTAGGTTTTATTCAATCTCGTCAAAAAGTCCAAAGACTAAAAATGTGAGTTAACATCAAGCATACAATCATATAAAAAAAAAAAACATTAAAAAACATATGTATATAAGGAACAACATAGGAAATGGGAAAAAATATATCAAAAAGATAAATGTTTACATCACAACATCAAAGCAGTACAACAAAAAAATACAAAATACAAAATATTCCTAGCATGTCAGATGAGTGTACTAAAAATAAAGTAATTAAAAATAGATAAAAGCTTTATGAGAAAAAATGAAGAAATTTAGGCCTTCTGTTTTGTTAGTGAGAGAATAATTGTCATGGACAAATCATGTATACAGATACGTGAACTCAATTAACTGTAACATAGGAAAACCCGCGATAAAATGCAATACACCATCCATTCAGATAATAAGTATTAACAAGTATTAAATACTTTTAGCCGAAGTAGAGAGAAAAGTTTCAATCCTGCCTTGCAGGCGTGATGAAACCGTTCGAGCTTTTACTTGGTGTTATTTCGTTCAATATTTTGTATAAATCTATTTGTTTATTTTTACTTAGTAATTCATTAATTCATTTATTAATTTATTACTTCTTTTGGGCCGCCTCGAATGGATCATTGACAAACTTAGCTATGAAATGTTCCTGCTCTTACTCCGGGTGGGGGGGGGGGGTACTCACATATTAAGACAAACCAGGGGTGTGCCGCTCGAATGCCCATTTTTAACAAAAGTCCCTAAACATGGGTCCCTTTTTAAACAAACATTTAAAAAAATACCCCTAAACATGAGTTTGCTTTTTCACCACTTTGACAAATTGGCTTTACTTCGAAAATAATTCGCCAAAATGAACCTTAAAAGTGGGTAGGTGTTTCGAGGCTTCAGCGGCACACCCCGTCAAAACCAAATGTGAGTGACCACCCCCCCCCCCCCGGCTCTTACTACCTTCATAAAGAGGCTCCCCCAAAACAAACACCATTTCTCCTTTCATATAGAATAATGGGTGTTTTTTTAAACACCAGAAAAAAGACTTTGGCTATTTAAACTTAACTCTCTTGAACATAAGAGGACTTAAGTATATCTATAAAGTAACACACATCTAATATAATAGAGTTTCTATTATTATATAGCTCGAAATTATTAAAGTTTATTATTGTATGCGAAGGAGTATAATTATTATAGCGACTAAACGAGAAAAATAGCTTCTGTGAAATTGAAAAGCGGTAATCGGAGATCGACATGTAATGGTTAAAAAAAAAAAAATAGAGTCACAGGGGGAAAAGGACTCACATAATATAAGAGTGAGTATAATTATGTTAGCCTTAACAGGGAGAGTTTTTTGTCTTATGTGAGAGGGGTGACAAAAGTGTTGCCTCATCCCTGTCATCATTGTCCTTTTCGCTAATAAAAGAAAAGCATCGATCTGTATATACTCGCGCATACAGTCAAACTTGTCTAGGTCATCCAAGGGAAACACAACTAGTGGCCACTGTAGACAGGTGGCCTTTCTAAACAAGTTCTTCAACATAAAAGCTAAACGATTGTTTGCCTTCTCCTCTTTCTCTTTGGCTTTTATTTAGAGGAAATGTGAACACTTAGGGGCCTTGTCGTAACTTAAAGCGTTTTTACATTTGAGAAATGGGGAGTGTATATATATATAACAGACCGAGTGAGAGAAAAAAATATGATATTGGAATGTTGAATGGGGTTGAATGTACGTGGAAACTCAGTATTTCAAACGGGACCAGAATTCTTTTCCGGGTTAACTGCAAATTGCATGATTGATGTCACATAATATTTTTTCTTCTTGCTAGGGGAACGGGGCCGAAAACCACCTCTTTTCGTAAATTATATATAACACCTGGTTTATCCTCCCCGAGCCCCCCCCCCCCCTCCACACCCTGAATTGAATTGCAATTGCAAGGGAGCATGGCGGCCGAGAAAGAAAACTAGAAGATTGAATTTGTATTTTATAGCCAAAGCAACCTTATTATAATGGCGTTATACATGAAAACAATTTCACTTAATTTTCTTGATTTACTCTTCTGCGGAGGGGGCACAACGAGGTGGTAAAAATTGATTATTTCCGGGGCCCAGGGGAACAACTCCCCCCCCCCCCACATACATGTATGGCGCCGTTTTTTGTACTCTTAAGTGCATGGGCTGTTATTAACTAATGATGCACTTCCAATTTCGATAACATTTCTAAAAATCAACTCAATATATACAAGAGCTTGTAAATATTTTTAAAAATCAAATCAATACCCTATACATGAATTTGTAAATATTTGTAAATAAATAATGTATATAGCACCCGACGTAAATTGCGGTTAACACACACACACACACACATAGTTTGCAATAATCTTCAGTCATTAAATATTGAAGGATTGCCTCATTGTCATGCTCGCGCATAACAATCAGGGGCGTCGCCAAAGGGGGGGGGGGTTGGGGTGCGACACCCCCATCTGTCAGGATATTGTCGGTAAAATTGCGCTGCCGTCGGGAAAAAAAGAGAAAATGGGGAGGGGAAAGAAGAGGGAAAAAAAGAGAGGTAAAGAAAGAAAAAAGAAAATGAAAAGAAAAGAAAGAAAGGAAAAGAAAAGAGAAGAAAAAAGAGAAAAAAGAAAAAGAGGGAGGAGAGGAAAGAAAGGAAAAAAAAGAAAAGGAAAAAAAGAAGAAAAATAGTAAAAGGGAAACAAAAGAAACGGGGGATGATAGAGAGGAGAGAGAGGAGGAGTGGGAGTAAAAGAGAGAAGGGGGTTGTTGGGTGGAGTCGTCTCGTCGAGAGAGCAAGAAAGACACGGGTAAATATGTTGCTGTGTCGGGTCAGCTGTGTTGGTATTCTTGCTCGATCCTCGTATACTGTCTATATCAATGCAGAAGTTTAAGGTCGGTGAGATGTATATTGTCGGTCGGCCGACACGTTCTTTTCCCTACGAACTGTGACTTCTTATCCGCTGTGACGACTTCGAGAGTGACTACAACTACAATACTTGTATTTTCTCGAAGTTTCACTTTCCTATAATATCAGCTAAAGAAATCAGAGGTTTAACATTTTCGGGGAAACTAAATTCAAACAAGGTTTAAGAGTCAACAACGGTACGACGAATCGTCTTCCTTTCTCTATGTTGTGATTAAACGCCAAAAATTCCGCGCTTTGCCCTGAAGGAAAAAAATTCATTTAGACGAGTCAAGAACGGGACAAAGAATCGTGTTCTTTCTCTAATAATTAAAGGAAACGTCAAAGCTTTCGCGCTTCGCGCGAGAGGGGGAAACTGAATTCAGATGAATAGGGCTGAGTCGAAAACGGTACGACAAATCGTCTTCAGTTCCTTTCTCTATATTGTGATGAAACGCCCAAAATTCCGCGCTTCGCGAGGAAGGGGAAAATTTCATTTAGACGAGTCGAGAACGGTACAACGAATCGCCTTCTTTCTCTAATAATTTAAGGAAACGTCAAAGCTTCCGGGCTTCGCGCGAGGGGGAAACTGAATTCAGACAAAATTAATAGGGCTTATTAAGAGTCGAGAACGGTACAACGAATCGTGTTTTTCTCTAATAATTTAAAGAAGCGTTAAAGGTTCCGCGCTTCGCGCGAGAGCGGGAGAAACTGAATTCAGATGAATAGGGCTGAATAGAGTCGAAAGCGGTACGACGAATCGTCTTCCTTTCTCTACTGTGAAATGCAAAAAAATCCGCGCTTTGCGAGGAAGGGGAAAACTTCATTTAGACGAGTCGAGAACAGTACAACGAATCGCCTTCTTTCTCTAATAATTTAAGGAAACGTCAAAGCTTCCGCGCTTCGCGCGAGGGGAAACTGAACTCAGACAAAATTAATAGGGCTTATTAAAAGTCGAAAACGGTACGACAAATCGTCTTCCTTTCTCTTGTGATGAAACGCCAAAAATTCCGCGCTTCGCGAGGAAAGGGAAAACTTCATTTAGACGAGTCGAGAACAATACAACGAATTGCCTTCTTTCTCTAATAATTTAAGGAAACGTCATAGCTTCCGCGCTTCGCGCGAGAGGGGGAAACTGAATTCAGACAAAATTAATAGGGCTTATTAAGAGTCGAGAACGGTACAACGAATCGTGTTCTGTCTCTTATAATTTAAGGAAACGTCAAAGGTTCCGCGCTTCGCTAGCAAGTAACCAAACTCTGGTGTCTAATCCAATCCAAGAGAATGCTACTCAAGTACTGTCCAATCATCCCTTAGTATCTGCTGCATCTTCTTCGTGGAGGATGGATGATGCAGATGTTCCCAGGAGAAGTACACCCATTGTTCTTTCAGCTGGATCACAGGCGCCAGGGACTCCGGTCCGGTTCCATCTTCATCAAAAGGAAAACCCATCAAAATGAGAGCTTTTCAAAAGAACCACTAAGTGACTCAAGTCTGAACACTATTCCTCTTGAAGATGCCATCAATAGAGGGGTGGTAAGCAGTGACCAATCAGATGACCAACTCTTGACCATTGATGTCTCGCAGCTGGGACCGGGCTCCAACATTGTGATTCCGTCTTACTTGCTACCTGGAGGGATCCTCACCATCCGATCACCAGACGTACCCTTCATGAGAATCCAAAGATCAGATCCCTCATCCTTGGTTCAGATAGGAACCGAAGCTGCTAGTGCGAGCAATGCCTTGGATGTAAGCAGCCAATCGCAAGTTGGTGTGGCTCCTACAACTACAAGTCAATCGCTGGATGATGTTTTAGAGACTGTGGTCCTGGAAGTGATGCCGAGTCTGGCAGTCTGCTGGTGAGGATGAAATCTCTCAGACAGAGTATATGGCATAGCTTCAGACCAACCTGTGAAAGAGAGCCAGAATCTGTGTGAAGTACATGTCATTGCCAATCACATCCTCAAACCTAGCAACCAAGTAGAAGTGTCCAGGGGCGTAGACAACGGGGGGGGGGGGGGGGATGAGGGGATGGCATGTACAATCATCCCCCCCCCCATGTTTTGGGGAATGATATTTGCTTACTTAATAAGTCATGATGATGATAATAATAGTAATAATAATAATGATAACAATTATAATATTAATAATAATAATAATTATGATGATGATAATAATAATCCTCATCATTATTGTAATTGTGTTTATTGTTAGCCGCATTCACACGGTGAAAGCTAATTCTAAAACAGAATAGAAAATGAATGTGATACAACAGCATACATAATAATTCGTGACAGAGAGTACCATACTACTATCTTTATAACAAGTATTATTCAAACAAACATATATAATTATGTATAATCATGAATTGTTCAACTTCATGCTCCCACTATAATGACTATTGTTACACTAATACTGATATCAGGACTGACTGGTATACATTAGTTTGTTGTTAAGCTTGCAGCAGCTACATCTTTTCTGTATTGTTAACTATTTATTTATTTTTGTTTTATTTAAGATGCACTTTGTTTTGTATTCATTTGAAGTATGTTGATTGATGCATGAAGACATAAGTTTGAAATGTTTAAAGAAGTTTGTTTCATGTAAAGCGCAGTGTGAATTTACCCTGTCTTGAAATGCGAGATAAAAGGAACCTATTAGTATTAGCATTATTATTTGTATTAGTATTATTTTTTATTTGTATTATTAGTATTATTATTATTATTATTATTATTATTATTATTATTATTATTATTATTATTATTATTATTACTATTATAAGACTGAGATCAAATAGAAGTAAATAATGCCCTAATTTGAAACGATGCAATGCCGTTATGGTTCCGATTTCTTCACAAACTTACAAAGCAGTATTGGTACTCCATGGATCATAGTGATACTGTTTATGTTTGTTGTATCTGTATGTTAATGAGCCGCCAGCCAATATCCATCTATGGATACTATGCCTGTTTCTTTGAGGTAAAAAAAGCATAGTATGTACGTATTCATTATGCTTTATAATGAACAGACATATTGTTCAAAGTTTAATCGTTATTTGTTTGTTGTTTATGTGTTCTATTCGCAAATGGCCACAGAGGCTGTTTTCATTCATAACCACATACCCCTATCAAGACAACAAAGACTATACCTGCGTGTACACAGTTGACATTGGTTTTTTTCTGAAGAGGTGTAACAGCAAAATTCACAGAGATAAATAAATACGTAGTGTGGTTCAATATGCAATACTATGTGTCAGTCCATTCTGTATTCGTATGCCACGGTGTGTAGATCTTGTCGATGTATGTCTGTCCATTCAAGGCGTAGTATGTGTGTGTGTGTGTGTGTGTATGTGTGCGTGTGCGTGCACGCTTGTGTGTGTTAATTTACCTCATTAAGTATGCATCAGATTGCACGATTTCAAGTTCAAAATTGCAAAAGCTCCCTACCGTGGGAGGGGGACACCCCCCTCCCACCCCCCCCCCCCGCTCAGTCGCTTCGCTCCCTCGCTCGGGCGCTTCGCGCCCTCACTAGCGTTGGCAGCCCAGTCATCCCCCCCAGGTGTACGAACCTGTCTACGCCACTGGAAGTGTCACAAAGGACATCCCCAAAGGCCCTGCATATTACCAAGAGGTCAGAAACTGCTTCAAAGGAACAGGAAATTTCTAAGAAATCAGGAGTTTCCAATCAACCAGATTTCAGATGAATTGGGCTTAATAAGGGTCGAAAACGGTACCACAAATCGTCTTCCTAAAAACTCCGCGCTTTGCACGGAAGGGAAAATGCCGGCCCCCCACTCAGTGATATTTAGGATACGCATATGCTTGTTCCCTCTTTTGAAAGCACCCCCTATCTGAGGACTGCCAACATTTTCGAACCCCCCTTTCGCGGGCTTTTCGTGGGCTTTTCCTGCCTTGGAGACCCCCTTAAATCAGGAAAAATGCTCTATGTACCCCCTAAATTCGGAATAATTTCTCAGGAGTCCAAAGAGATGAGAGACAAAAAGAAAAAACACCCCCTTTTTAAAGAAATCTCCTGGCGAAAAGTCAAATACACCCCTTTTATTACAATTCTAGGGCCGGACTTTGTCGCACGAAAAGTACCCCTTTACCGGACATTTTGGCAACGCGCATGCGGTCATTTCGACCTCTGGGGGGGGGGGGGGGGGGGGGGGGCCGGAAAATGTCATTTAGACGAGTCGACAACGGTACAACGAATCGTCTTCTTTCTCTAATAATTTAAGGAAACGTCAAGGCTTCCGCGATTCGCGCTATATAGGGGAAACTGAATTCAGACAATTATTAGGGCTTATTAAGAGTCGTAAACGGTACAACGAATCGTCTTCTTTGTCTAATGATTTAATGAAACGTCAAAACTTCCGCGCTTTGCGCGGGAGGGGAGAAACTGAATTTAGACAAGGATTAACAGTCGAGAACGGTACAGCAAATCGTCTTCTTTTTATAATAATTTAATGAAACGTCAAAGCTTTCGCGCTTCGCGCGGGAGGAGGGAGGGGAAAAAAACTTTATTCAGACAAGGATTAACAGTCGAGAACGGTACAATAAATCGTCTTTTTTCCTTCGCGCGGGAGGCCTATCAACCACACCCCTAAATGAGCGAGCTTTGTGCGCTCTTTAAAGTGATTCGCTTGCTCACTACCACCCCTCCCCAAAATGAGATCCTAGCTCCGCGCCTGCATTAAGATATATAGCTATGATGCTGACTAAGTTGACGAAATAATTCGTATATTTTTGTCGTCGGGGAAAATGACCATTTGCGCATACGCAAGTACTATAGATAGTCCATAGGAAAAACAATTTAGCCTTCGGCCCCAGGTTTATAGGGTTAAATTTGTAGATATTGGACATTTAATTTTGTCGGTAATTGGTGGCTAGTTTTATCGGTAATCGTTTTTCCTCTACCGTGACCCCCCCCCCCCCACTTAAAAAGGTCTAGCGACGCCCCTGATTACATTAGGTGACGTCCAAAGCCATAGACAATGCATCAGGCTGGTTTGAACATAATTATGGTTCATCATTATGATTAAACAAATAGACAGACGGCCTTGGGCTTTGGACCAGAGGGGCGGATCCAGTCGGTGGCAAGGGAGAGGGCCAAATATGGGAGGCCCAATTCGTGAGAAAATGTTTAGCGCCGAATCAACCGGCCGGCAAAAATAAGGGGGGGGGGGGGGGGGTAAGAGTACTTTTTTTTTTACTCAACACCCATCCCCCTCCCCCCCCCCCCCTTTGAGCCAGGGGAGGGACCTGTCTTCTTTTTTTTCTTTCTTCATTTACCTGTTTTGGGGGCCAAGGAACGAATTTCGAATGAATGATTGAAGGGAATTCTTCATCATCATGTCAGGTGCCCCCCAGCCCCGCCCCCCCCCCCTTACCCAACTGAGTTGTCGGCCTATTGAGTTTTGGATTATGCCTCTCGTACTGTATATGCATAAATGTGGCACTTATTTAAATTATATATGATAGTGTCAGAGCATGGATCCACGTGATTTGTGGGGTGCTGTGCAGGCATAACCCTCACCGCCCCGCCCCCCCCCCCACACACACCTGCACGAGAACCGCAGCGTCAGACTTATGGGACCGAGATGGCGAGGGGCGAACTGGCACGAGGACGAACTCTTTAGCATTATCCCTGGGCAGAAAATGGTGATCACAACGGTCTGTAGTGTAAGTACGTGTATTATTTGTGTGTTGTGTGTATCGAACACACAAAGCCATAATAAAAGACTATAGTCTTTGTTCAAAACAAAAATAGTTTGATCTGATAGAATCTACTCCTTTTTATAGGTTGATACAGGGACTTGGAAGACTTACACGGCCGGTGTTTATCATAGTTTTTCCATTTCATACTTCACCAGTGATCTTTTATTCATGAAACTATTGATAGATCTATATCAATGCAGGAAGGGTTTAGATATTTAAGTTTTTTTCATAGATTTGTTCAATGATTTCAAAGAAGGACGCTTGTTTCACATGGAATTCTCAGGTTGATGCACACAGAATTGTTCAAAACAACTTTAAACTACGGGCAATAAAATAATAATACCCCCCCCCCCCCCTCCACGTCAAGCTTGGTAAACGCCATGTATGCGACGACACTAAATAAATTAAGGCTTTACCAAAGACTATCGTATAAAACGTAATTTCTTCCGGAAAGTTGGAAGAAGAAAAAATGGTAGACGCAGTGACCAAGAAAACTCTAAGTAATATTCCATTACTCAAAACTAAAGCAGGGCCAAGGGACAAGGATCTATGGCCAGCGAGACTGAAAGAAGAATACCAGTCATTAATTAAGGTACATGTATTTACCGTCACTGTTTAACTGAAAATGTGTAACATATGTTTATTGCAACGAACGCAAAATGTGAGCGGAGCGACAGTGGTTATCCAGCCCGCCAGCTGGGGCGTATAGTTATTAGTCAGACCGTAGAGATGCGTAATATGCCGTCATGGCTCATGCCGCGGCCGACGTACATACCGTGGGCGTGGACCGAAAATGTCTGTCTCTTTCGTTCGTTAGCCTCTTGTCTTATTTTGGGTTAAATTGAGGCTTTTACTTTTAAACGAACGAAAGAGACAATGCCAATCAAATGCCGACAGAGCTGAGCTGAGCTGAGCTGAGCTGAGCATTGCTGCATTACTAGCCATTGGCCATTACTCATTAGTTATTACTTAGTTAGGGACGTTACAAAAAAATTAAATCTCAGAATTCAAGCTCTTGCTTTATGCCATTAGACAGAGCTTGATAAGACCTTTTATTTAATGCCTCATTCATCGTAATAGCCCCAGTAATAAGAAAGTTATGCCAATTTTAAACGCCCGGAAATCATGTATTTAATTGCTTTGTTTTCCTTTGTTTTTAAACCAAAAGTTGTGATCTCAAATGTGACCGAAAGATTCTATTTCATTACATAAAATGGCCCCAAAATGTATGTAAATACACAAAAATTGCTAATTCGTCCGTCATTTATGCATGACATTTTCACATTCCTCCTAAAAAAAAACATATTTCTAATCCATAGATTTTGCTGAAATTTCACCAAAAGCAAATTCACATGTTAACCAATCATCCTAGATACTTTTTTTCAAATCCTGTAGGTGGGATCAGGGTACAGAATGGCACTAAACACGGCTCTTGTGAAACAGTGCAGCAAAACAAACTGCCGAAAACATAAATCATAAAAAGTTTAGTATGAAATGAAAGATAACAATGTCATTCTTCTCATCCAAAAGAAATCATGAAACAAAAATCTAATCAGCCCATCAAAAGATCACATTTACCTAGGCTATCCAAATTGGTCTCCAATAGTGCATAACAGCCCCATGGCAGAAACCGTCATGGCGAAAGCACACACATTGTAACATACCTACATTACTTTAGACTTTAGTTTGAATTTCTTCAACTTATTTTCAAGTTCAACTCAGCTCAGCATTATAAATTAACATGTCTGTGTTATTATATGCAGACATGATTTGAATAAACTATTTAAAAAAGAACAAACAAAAGCCCTTTTTAATATTTAGTTTATGGAATTATGCAGTGATAAACTGATAATCATATTAATCAGCTACACATGTACGGACTAAGTAGATCTAGGAGGTTTGGTAGAAGAAAAGGTTGTTGCCATTGACAGCAATTATAATACTGTAATATTATTAATAATAGGTTCTACTTAGATTTACTAGATCTAGATCTATTATGATTCATACATGTATTATTTTGTTTTAATCACTCTTTATTTCTTCATCTTCCAGTATGTGGGGAACAACAAGGAAGCGGACAATGATTGGTTCAGACTCGAGTCTAATAAAGATGGCACAAGGTGGTGGGGGAAGTGCTGGCATATACAAAATCTCTTGAAGTACGAGTTTGAGCTGGAATTCGACGTAAGTACGCCAGGACGACAGCAAAATAAAATGTAACAATAATTTGTGTGAGCAGTGAGCAATTCATGTGCATTGAAAATAGAAAAAGCAGCTTTTGACCTCTGATTTGTGATGCCTGTGTGAAGGCCAAGGGGTACAGGTGGGGAACACATACGTTTGTATTTAGTGTATTTTGGTACTGAACAGTGAATGCCAGAGAATGCAATGCATTGGAGGGGGGGGGGGGGGGGGAGGGGCAGATCAAATGAAAGCAATCCTCTTCCTTGGTTTTAAAGGCATATGGTAGGCAATCAACAGTTTCCATGTGTATTATGTCATAATACGTTGTATTGTAATTAGTTGAGATATTATTAATGGATGTACAAATTTGACACACAGAGATTGGATGTCCACCCAAGATATACCTCCCCCACTAGTCTCCCAGAGAGTGTGGTCTGCTGTCAAATTCCCTATGAAAATCCAAACGTATGTGTTCTCTTGGCACCTGCACAAGAGCCTAAGAATCGAGCCTATACCTCGTCTAATTTGTGTTTTGATTTTAATTTTAATTTGACAACAGATCCCTGTAACTTATCCTGCTACGTCGCCGGAGATAGCCATTCCAGAGTTGGATGGGAAGACGGCCAAGATGTACAGAGGAGGCAAGATCTGTCTTACCGATCACTTCAAACCTCTGTGGGGAAAGAACGTTCCAAAATTTGGCATTGCACATGCCATGGCATTAGGGGTAGGTGTAAGCAAAAGATGTGATTGTGCACCATTCTGCATGAAAAGGAATTTGGGGAGAAGGTTGCGCATAAGTTTGTGTGAGCAAGAAAGAAAATACATTTATAAATACAAGATTGGATACACTACACAAAGAGTGCCCCCTGTTCGCATTTTGACATAAGGGATTTTTTTCTTCCCCACAAGAAACCTTCGTAACGTACCACGAGGATAGCGCCTAAAAAAGACAAAGAAAAAAAGGACAGGGATCGGTAATCTAACATGATATCACTATCTCCCCCTTTTTTTTGGGGGGGGGGGGGGGTTAAGAAGAAGAAGAAATATATATGTACATGCATATTATGTGAGTGTATATACATGAATTTGATTTCAAAACAAATTTGTTATAGTATTCGGCAATGATAGTCATAATCTGACTGACTTGCCTAAATTAAACAATAACAACATCTGTTTTCTCCAATAAATTATGTCTTCTGTCCCCCCCCCCCTCTCTCTCTCTCTCTCTCTTTCTCTCTGTCTTCCTCTTTCCCCCCTCTCTCTCTCTCCTGCAAAGAAAAAACCAATATAAAACCAATAAAATCTCTTTTTCTATCATGTACAGTTGGGTCCGTGGCTGGCGGTGGAGATTCCTGACTTAATAGAGAAAGGAATTGTGGTTCATAAAGAAGGCGGAGCTGCATCAAATTCATAACGTTTACATCAGTGCATAGAGTAGAACTTTATTACATCACAGCTTGCATGACATCTAGAGGGCAATCTATCCCGACAAGGCTTGCATCAAAGAGGACCTATGAATTTCAACTTTTTCGTTGATTCTACGTCGATTTTCGCCAAGTGTTTTGAACATGACATCAGATGTAAGGGAACCATCACCTCGTTTTTTTAAAAAATAATTTTTTTTAAATTTGCACTTGAACTAAATAGTCTTTTAAAGCCCCACTGCACTAGTTTGGCTAGGAGGGATTAGACCTCCCTGCATGGTCACTGACAAGTGGTTATCTCATCAAATAAGCTCTTAATTAACATAAGAAAAAGGGAAAAAGGGACCAATGGTCACCGATTAGGCATTGTTTGCTATATAGAGGGCTCAAGTAGCTATAAGTAGTGCAGTGGGGCTTTAAAGGGAAATGTGAAAGACAAGTCCATCCGTGCCCAGCACCAAAAACGCACTCAAACCATAACACTGATAAGATAATGCTGGACTAATTTTAGATTTCAGCAGGAACAATGTGCGTATCCTGAACTAAGTATACCATTACACAAAGGGATTCAGGTTTTCTGACTATTTAAAGAGTGTCAAAAATAACAGCGAAAACCGGGGAAAAAAAATTGTGGTGTTCCATGCTACAATTTCCAAGGCATGGAATGATCTGTGCAATTTATTTTAAGGTCATTGTTTATCAATGTAAAATCTGAGATGCATGGCCCTACGTGTTATCAGTGTCTGTGATATGGTGTAAAATTGAAGCCCTGAAAAAATTGCGCTTCAAAATGATCATGATGTGCCTCAAAAAAGTACAAATCTTTGAGTGACCGGTTTTACCATATCGGTATTCATTTTCCCCAATAGACTGTAGTGTTATAAAAAACGTTGAGAAAACGGTTTTAGAAATTTCAAATTCCAATCATAAATATCTTGATAATCAGAAGGGCGATCGGCTTGTAAAAGTCCTGGGATTCCTGACTGACCTAAGGGTTTAGAATTATGATTGCAGCATGAGCTAAATCCAGGATTTTGTTTCAGAATCTGAGACAAAGATACCCAATCCCTTTAAGGTCATCCCTTATTATGTTGTCTTTCCCGTAGGGATGAGTGGATTATTCACATTTCAGTAACTGGTAATGTATCTTGAATTTGGGTAATCAATTTAGAACTTGAGACATCTGTGCAAAATTTTGAAGAAAATTTTTTGGGCAAAGCTTCTCTTACTGAAGATACTGTGAACTGTTGTGAAGCAGAATTTTCCAGGTGCGTGAAATTTTGCAATTCCCCGACATTTATTTCATCAAAAAATGAAAATATTTGTTATTTGACTGTCGACTTATAGTTGTTTCTTCTATCACTAAAATTATTTAATGGTCATATCAAGATATTTCCATTTTTGGAGGAAATAAAATGGGGAAAAGATTATCCGCTTTACAGAGCTATTCAATGTTATTACATGTAGTGATTTGTCTGTAAATGTAACATGTTGCCACATGTATTCCATGTATATGATTATGTTAACAAATTAAATACCCTTGCAAACTATAGATTTCAGTCATGCCTTCCATTTTATTTGGTGTAAAACTCCAATCATTCTTTGCAAAAACATTTGATGTTGTTTATTTCTTTTCCATTCCTTAAAAGCTTTTTAACTTAACTCAACATGATGGCGATCTCTTTCTATTTTTCTTCTCTAGCCTTTTAATCTATCTCTCCTCCCTCTCTCTCTCTCTCTCTCATCTTTCTAATATCCATCAATCCACTGGCCTCTCCTCTCTTTCTTTCTCTCTGTCTCTCTCCTTTTTAACAGAACCAGGTACCAGTATTTAGAACAGGGTTCCCACCCTGGGAAAGTTGTTTACTGTTTTCTTTTTCTTTTCTTTCTGCAAAGTAATGGAAACTGTGAGGGAAGGTGGAGGCCGCCACCACAAACATGAAAATATATATATCACTGCTCTTTTTTGATAACGGTTCTTGGAAATTGGTTCTCATTTCTGTGGGAACCCTGTTAGTGTTGAAACACTTGTATCTCCATTACTACCCTATATTCTTCAACACCTGCACTCTGCAAGCCGATGACTTGCCAATGTTCAACATCATTCGCATCCCACAAACTACAAAGCATCCGAAAACAGAGCCTTCATCAAATGTACAAAACATGATCATGTTTATTAAATGATATACACTTGAGCATCAAGACAAGTACAAGTACCTATGTACACAATATACAGAGAAGATAACAATCATGAGTTGATGAAGCAGCCATTACAATGCTTACATGTACTTTGTTGTTTTGTTGAAAAAAGTGTCTTATCAGCCTTAAACTCAATGGTCCAAAAATGCCCAGAAAAGTCAATTACTAGAAGCAAAAGCATGATAAGTACCCCAGTTACATTGCCGAACCGACTCCAAACAGACTGTTCCTTGGTCAATTGTTGTGTAAATTATAACGTTTTGGGGTTATAATTTACATCGCTGTGATTGAGGTATATGTACAAGGTTCTATGACATATTAAACAAGTCGATAAGCAATGGGAACTGTGTGACTTATCCAAGGACTTGCGATCGTTCACAACTCATAAGCCTAGACTAATGAGCCATTCGGTGGGATCATGTCATTTGGGCTGATGAAGAGTATGAATAAACAAACATAAACAACTCAATGAACAAACATAAACAACTCACTGAACAAACATAAACAACTCAGAGACTTTTGGATTCTTCCAAAACACAACAATAATGATACAATAATAATAGTAACAATATTAATAAGATCAATTTTTGTTTACCTGTTCTTTCTGAGGGTACCCATTTTCACCTGGGTGGTAGTGCCGGACTGAGATGCGAACCCTCAACCCTTGGATTTAGAGTGGAGAGCATGAACCACTATACCACAACACCTCCACACAATTATACAACGCTGTTCAGGTATTCTATTCACAGCTTAAAGTGTGTACCTGTAGTCTCAAGCACCCTGTACAGCTATCAAATGGCAAGAAAATAACTCTTAAGTGTCGTGCGGGGCTCTACATCAATGATGGGCGCTTGGTCAGCATGGGCACGTCAATTTTTCAGCGTCATGCCCCCCAACCCCCTCCAAGTTTCTAAAACGTTTTTTGGGGACGGGGCATACATGTACAGACTCTACAAATGTCAATGCAGACCCCAGCCCTGCAAAAGAAAAAGGAGGTACGGAGCCCTGTCGTAATGAACATCAGTTTTCTACTTACATCCAGCGGTAACAACAACTAATTCATTTTAAAAATAAATACAAGAAAACATGCCTAGCAAGAAAATACAAAATAGACATAACTGTATTAGTCTTTTTTCAAGTACCTGTCATTAATGCCGTTGCTTTTTCTTGAATCATTATTTTTGTAAGACATAATAAAAATGTACACTGTAGCACCTAAACTTTACCACTATATTACAAGGAATTGCATTATTCAGTAAGAAGATGTGTGCCAATACTTGAAACTCATAACTTCTAAATGAAGTATAGAATACAAATTCAAATGCCATACGCATAATGACATAAAGAGCACAAACTCATTGTTATTTAACATTTGTTTTAAATCTGAAAGAATAACATTTTGTTCAGAACTCAAACTCCAACGTTTGAATATGCAGCATTTGTAACATGACACATAATGGCATATTACCGGTACCTTTAAAGGGAAAGTCTACCCTGATATCAAATTGGTTTTTATAGAAGCAGAAAAATGAGAGAAACGGGTCAGTGAATGTTTAGCAAAAATTGTTGAAAATTAGAAAGTCACGAGTTTTTTTTTAGGTGAGATCAATTAAACACAAATTGACAACTCTGTGACGTATCTTGTGAGCTCCCTTCCAATTTGACCTGTACTAAAAAACTTTCAAAACCTAATATTTCCCCTAAGAAAATTTTAAATCATACATTCACCCAGAATATAATTGCATGTTTTTATATGACCCCTGTTTGAAACAAATCTATTGTCATCAATAAGTAAGAAAATGAAAGTTTATGACATTTCTGTTTTGTTTAGACGGTATATCACGGAAATCAATGTCTTGTCAATCTGTTCCATAAAATAACTTTTAAAATCCCATTGAAAACTGAAAAAAACAGGGGAGCTAGACGCCTTCTGAATTTCTCGAACGTAAAATTGTCCATCTCTTTGCAAATCATCATCTGCCAATTGAAGATCAATTCAAGCTTCTCTTTTTCATCTCTGTAAACACTTACTTTCTTTGTTCAATTGAATGGAGATCATTACCATCAAACGTGTACACATACAACAGAAACAAATCCTAAGTTTATCACAGGCTAGATAAATACACATACCAATGGAACAGACGACTTTTCTCTTGTAACTCCTACAAATATTTCCAGACTTAGTTGCACGTTTATGATTTTGGCAAATATCTACAACCAATGTACATTTGCGTCACAAAAAGACTACTGCATACACAACATTCAATGTTGTTCACTTTTCTGAACAAGCAACACCATAAATGCCAATGATTGCAGTCACAGGATTGACACACGAACATTAAAACAAAAATGACAGGCATTCTAATGCCAATGGCCTTCTGCTTACCACAATAGTGTGTAGCAAAACAGTGAAACGGGCAGCACAACGAATTATAGTCATATACATGTAAACAATAATCTGTGAACACGGCATTGTCTGTATTCAGAAGTTTAAATGACACAGACACGTTGTGGAAGCTATATAAGTTGACGTGATTGAGCAGTAAATCATTCACTGGCAGTACATTCATTTTCCACTGACTATACATGAACAGTTTGCATCAAATTTTTTTTCTCAACTTTAACTCGTGTAAGACATTAATAAATCTAGGTAGTCGTAGTAAAATTAGCTGCATAGCATGTAAGGTAGTCTACATCATTTACAATACAAATACTGTATAATTCTAAGTGGAAGTCGTTGCATTTTCTGCAGGAATACTAAAACAAGCTGATTTAACCTGAAGTAATCAAGTTTAATAAGTAATCTTCAGTCCTTGGAAGCAGGCTAGGCCTGTGCATTTCATTTCGCCAACGATTAACTCTCAAACTGCCATGAAAGTTGGAAGAATTTTTTTATTGTACATGGGTCAGAGCATCGCCAACATAGAAGCCTGGATGTGCTATT